TTATTTTTCCCTTGCTGATCTCATGAAACTGAGATGTTCAAATGGCTAAAAAGTCCTGGAAAGCTGAGAGCTGAATGGGCTGGAGCAGGGAAACATCCAGCAGGGAAGGGATCGTGGAATCAGGGAATGGTTGTGTGGAGGAAGGGAAATTTGGAAATTTGGGAATATTATTCTTTTAATACCTAGGGAGTGTTCAGGGGGATCAGACTAATAATCCAGTGTAAATAATTGGATGTGGAAGGATAAATAATTCCATGTAAAGAGAAGCTGTTTCCTGCAGGTTCCTTTTATTTTGTTCCAAGATTGCAGTAAAAGAGAAACCTTTTGGTTTTTCAGGTTTACAAAGTGCTCAGAGAGCTTCTGTAACAGCTTTTGTACCTGTGGAACAAACTTTCATCCCTTCAAATGAACAGTAAAATACAAAGAGAATCCAGAAGGCAATAAAAGGCTGCTCAGCAGCCTCRGAATTCAGAAATTTCCTACCAAAAAAGTCCATTTGAGCAGAGCACTTGTGGCTCTTTTTCTATGGAGGTGCTGAAAGGAAACAGCCCCAAAACTGGAAATAACATTTGAGAAAGTGTTTTTTGCATGAAAACAGTGACAGAAGCAGCAGCAGTGGGCTGGTGTGAGCTCTGAGGGAGAACARAAAATGCTTTTTCTCAAAACCCTCCACCCCAGCGAGGTGTGCAGCACAGGAGAGGGCTGATCCCAGGGTGAAGGTGTTGGTGTGGGGTGGCAGAGCTCAGACCCCACTAAACCCCAACCCCATTAGTTCAGAGCAGGAAAGGGAGGTGTTACCACGACCCTGAGGGTGAAGGAACATCCCAAAGAACTCCAGAGCAACCCCAACACTCCTCCCTCCAGCTGGGACGGTGCTGGTCAGGCTCYCCAGCTCGGGGTTTGCTCCTCAACTCTCCTTTCTGCAAGAAACAACAACAACAATTACTGCAAACACGAGCTGAGGCACCACAAACCCCACAGAACCCATGGGAACCCCGGCATTGGGACACGGGGGAGAAACAGCTCTGCTTGGACACAGAATTCCAGGGTTTGGGAGGGCTTTGGGGTGTTGGTGTTAAAAAATTGTATTAAAAATCCTCTTGGCTCAAGGAGAAACATCATAATTAAGGCAGGTTTTAATTTCCTTCAGCTTTCCTCAAGACTGAGGTGTGCAAATAACACAAAAAAACCATATAAAACCCCACAAGTCACTGGATACTTTGCTCACAGGTACCTTAGTGGTTTTGGGGATTAATTTATGTACCACCATATAGACACAGCCCAGTTTTGGAGGAGTCCATCAATCCATTTATCAGAAACATCTTATTAGCAAATTATTTATCTGCATCAAACATTATTATATTGTAAAATATGTATATAATACCTCTATAAACATATAGAAATATATTCTATAAACATATAGAAGCTGTGTGATGTACAGTATCTGCAGGTGAGGTGCATTATTGTCAATGCATTTAAATTAAAAAATATTTTACAATATTTTAAAAGGATTGAAAAATAAAGAATTCCAACAAAATTAAAGGAAATGAGATCTGAGGGAGCTGCTGAGCTGAATTAGGTCAYAGCAGAAAGCATTCCAAAGGAAAAAGTCCATGTTCTTCAAATGCCAGCATGACTCTACAGGTGTGGTTTTGAAAGATGTGATTTGCTACTGATTTTATTCTGATTTGATTTGACATTGATTTATTTTCTCATATAAAAAATGTTAAATTCAAAATCAAGCCACAACGGTTTTTAACACAATTCACCTGGAAAGACACTGAAATAAAGGAAAATAGCAAGGAAAAGTGGCAGGAAAGGACACCTGGATAACTGCAACTTCAAATATTGGTTCACAGGAGGCAGGAAAATGAAATCCTAAGGAATATGAAATCCTAACACAGACTGCTAAGAAAATAAATCCAATATAAACCAGACTTGAGACAAAGATCCATCTAATCCCTTCAGGATAMCATTTTCCATGGACACCGATATTTATGGGGTTTGTACTTACTCAGAAGCAGMTGCTTTTTGCAGTTTTTCCCTTCTCTTTGCAGACCAGTTGAGATCCCCACCTGGAACAGCAGAAATGTGCACTCTGAGACCTTCACAATTGGGATTTTTGTGGTTTTGGTATCAAAACTCCCCCCAGGTGTTGTCAGAGGAGTGGAGACATCAGAGGAATGGTTTGACAGAACAAATGGAGGTGAAGAGAAAAACCAACAGCAAGAGAAGGTGCCAACAACTCACCTTTGAGGTGGTTCACAAAGTACAGCGTGACCACAGCAAACAGGGACACTGGAACAGGAGAGGGACAGAATCAGCTGACAATAAATGATCAGGGTTACCCACAACCAAGATTTTTCACTGTGGTTGGAACTCAGAGGACGCTTTTGCTTTTGTAAATCCCTCTGTGCTCATAGCACATTATAACTCAGAAAACATTTTAATTCAAAACTCATAATTTACTCTTTTAAAGTGTTATTTGTCTACTTTCACCCTGTTTTCTAATCACTGGAACTCCTTACACCTCAAGGAAACCCCAAACCACTCCACTGGCTGTGAATTCATCTCAACACCACCCCAGCTGACACCTCCAAAAGAAGAGTTATTTCTGTTTTACAGGAAATAGGAAGGAAAGAGCTCAAAGAAGCTTCCAGAATGCATTTCCAYGTGTTCTGTACTCACAGCAAACACAGGCACTGAAGAAAACCTCGAGGAACAGGTATCCCTTGGTGTCCAGGATCATGCCAGCGGCGATGGCRATGACAGCCAGGCCCAGGTTCTGGATGGACTGCATGCTGCACACAGCAGGGACACCTCAGAAAATGGACACTCACTGCCCCACAGCAGCTCCTCAGTGGCACTGAGCTCACAGGATGAACTTCCCCCCGTTTGTGTGAAAGCTGTTGAGCTCATTTTGCAGAAGTTTCRGTGCCTCCCCCGCCCCAGCCCCCACATCCCCAAAACAGCCAGGGCTTGAGAGCCAGCAAGGGCTGGAGCTGCTCAGGCAGCAGTTCAGGAGTTCCAGGGATGATGAAATGGTTTGGGATGGAAGGGACCTTAAAGGCCACCCAGTGGCCATGGGGACACTTCCCACCATCCCAGGCCTTGGGCACTGCCAGGGATCCTGGGGCATCCTTGGGATAAACCATCCCAGCCCCTCTCCATCCTCCAAGGGAACAATTCCCAGCCCAGAATCCCATCCATCCATGCCGTCTGGCAGTGTGACCCCATTCCCTGTGTCCTGTCCCTCCATCCCTTGTCCCCAGCCCCTCTCCACCATTCCAGGAGTCACCCCAAAGCTGGACAATTCCAGCTCTCCCAGCAGAGCTCCCCATCCCCTGCTCTGACCCCACCCAATCCCTGCAGTACTCACAAGCCATAGGCAGTGCCCARCTGGTGCTCGGGGACCACAAAGGCCACCATGGGCCACAGGGCACAGGCCAGCAGCGAATAGGCCACCCCCAGCAGGCACTGGGGACACAGGAACAAGCACAYGGGGTTACAGGAGAGCCACTTTGGATGCAAAACTCAAAAATTATTATATAAGAGGAAGATTTTCTCATTCCGCCCTTTTCCACCCCCTTTTCTCTCAATCCCTTACTCTTCCAGCCCCTTTTTTCTTCCAGCCCCTTTTTTCTTCCAGCCCTTTTTCTCAATCCCTTACTCTTCCAGCCCCTTTTCTCTTCCAGCCCCTTTTCTCTTCCAGCCCCTTTTCTCTCAAAAGTGAAAAAAAAAGAGCTCAAGCAACACTTTGTGCAATGAAATTCTAAATAAATATCCATGTTTAGAAGGAAAGCTTCTTCCAGGAACGACCCTCAAATTAAACTCTATTAATTAATTTTAAAGGGTCTGACTTTAACACCCAGAGCTGCACCTCACCAAAATAACCCATGAAAAGCAAAGTTTTTTAAGCCCTGCCCCACTSGTGAGCACCACAAACCTCAGCCTTTGAACACATTTTTCAGATAATCTGCCTTCAATAATGCAGATTTTTATGGAGGTTCAATGCAGCACATCAGAGGCAGTTTGAGTAACAGTAACAAACTTCAGAAATAAATTAAAAGCACAAATTTTAGGAGAAAAGTGAGCACCTGGCACAGGAATTCAGCAATGGAGCAAGCAGTTTTTTTCCACTTAACACACAGAATAATTCAGCACCAACTCCATGCTTATTTGATATTTGTAAAAGGAATATTTCATGTTTCTTGTATTTGTATGTAGCTGTAAGTGCAGAAACCCAGGTTACCATGGCTATCCAGGGGTTCCAGAAGGTAAAGGCCAGCATGATGTGGGAGGCCAGCGTGCTGACCACAGCACACAGCACCCAGATGATGTTCTTGCCAACTTTATCCACCAGGAGACCAAACACAGGGGACATGGGGGCTGAGATGATGTAAACTATGCTGCAAACGAGTAAAAAGTAAAGGATTTAACAAGATCAGAGTCCTTTTTTTAACTGTGAGAAGAAAAAAGTATGTTAACTACCATAAGAAAAAGCCACCCCAAAAGAATYCCAAATTTAAAAGAATTTAAATATTCCAAATAATTTAAATATCCCAAAATGAGCMCAAAAATGCATCCTAAATTCCYAAAAACTGGCACAGTTACTTGCTTAATTAACCACAATATACCTGTTAATTGCACTGGCTTCTTCAGGGGAAAATCCAAATTTTTCAATAAAGAAAACCCTGAAGGAAAAAAAAGAAAAGAAAACTTTTTAGGAAAATGCAGACTTGAAGACGTGAAATCAAAATYAAGCCAGACAAAGACACAAGAATCTCATTTACAAGAAAATTAAATACAGCTTTGATATAAATATCAGAGATTCTCATTAATAACTAATTTAGGAGCCTGTTATCAGACTCTAGAGATTTTAATCTAAGGATCATTCAAATTATATTTTGGGGAAAACATTCCAAAGTCCCTAACCAGTATTTACCTCAAACAATGAGATATTWGGTTGCAATTATGGAAGGAATGCTACAGAACAGCAAATTCCACCCCAAAATCCACCYTATGTTTGAAATGTGTATSAAGTTTTWATCWGRAAATCAAACATTCCTCATGTCCTGRGCTCTGACACCTCAGAGCAGTGATTCCCACACAGCTCAGCTGAGAAATGKGAAGTTTTTTAAGGACTCAGTGAAAATCCTGACCAAATTCCTGGCACTTACTTGCCAAGGCCAATGAAAGGGAAAACTGCAGCGTAGTAACACACACAGATGACAAAGATGAGCCACAGGGACAAGGAGAAATCCTTCACATCTGTCAGCTTGATCACTTCTCCTGCAGTGGGAAACACAGAAGGGAATCAGTCAGGATGGGCAAATCTGGGATTCATCCCCACTGGAGSAACATCAGAGATCCCAAATCCCTCCTACAGCACATCCCTGTCACTGCCTGGCTGGAGCTCACCCACTGGGAGTCACTTCAGGATATCCAAGTGTCAAATCTGGGCTTTGGAAGGTGTCCCTGACCATGGCAGGGGTGGCACTGGATGGGCTTTAAGGTCCCTTCCATCCCAAATCAGGCTGGGATTCCACTGGATCTCAACTTAATTAATTGCTTATTGGTGTGATTGCTCCCAACATGGAAAACTCAAATCAGGCTGGGATTCCACTGGATCTCAAATTTAGTTTATTTCCAATTGCTCTGAATTCTCCCACAAGGAAAACTCAACCCACCCCACACTGACAGACAAGAGCTCCATGATTTTGAACCCCTGATAAAGGAACCAGATCAGCTCCAAGAAAACAAGAACAACTACCCATGGCACAGATCAAATCAGGTGTAAACTTTTATTATAAAAGAAAATTACAATGCCTCTGCCTGTTCAACTGGTGTTTAAAACTAAAACTTTATATAGAGCTATAGAACTTCATATAACAGCTATATATACTATGTAACTATATAATATAGAACTTCACTAAATATAAAATTTTATATAAAATATCATGAACTAAAAATGACGATGGTAGCTGTGAGGATGTGAAGCAGCAGCCCCTGAATGATCCCAAACACAAACCTGTCCTGAATGACCCCAAACACAAACCTGTCCCTGCAGAGCAGGGAGGCTCTGCTGCTGTGCACTCACCTGTCCTGCCCTGCTCTTTACAAAGCAGCTTCTCTGCTCTCCTGTCCAGGTAAGCCAGGATCAAAGCACAGCCCAGYGAGAAGAGACAAGTGACACCCCCTGAGGAAGGAAACACCACACACTCAGCACACAGCTCCAGCACTGATTTGGTGTTTCAGCCCAATCAGTGCAGTTTTTGTTGGACATGTCAAGGTACACCAAGTTTAAAATTAATTTTAAGGCTCAGGAGCTGCACAACTCAAAGATTAAAGTGTAAAACTGAAGCCTGACATGTGGCAGGCACCTGCCTTGGAGATAATTGCTCAAATTTCACTTTTACAATCAAATATTCATGCCCATGGCTCTGAGGAAAGGCAWCACACCCCCAAATTGTTCAAATTTCACAATCACACAAGCACAGGCAAGCTTTGACACCCTTCAGGACATTTTTCAAGCCTGTCCTTTGCTCAGAGGATGTGAAATGTTTTACCTCCATAAGGCAATAACTTAAACTTGGTAACCCTAAAAATGCCACAGCATTTTCCTGCTTGAGAGAATATGAAATTATGACAAAAAAGGTGTTGGGATTGCTCTTCCCAGGCTCAAACAGATTTGTCTGCTTGTAAGTGATCAATAAATCATTGACACACGTGCAGGTGACCCCAACCCAAAATGTCACTGACCTATGAGGAGAGCCAAGCCCAGGGTGGTGGGGCCAGCAGAACCCAGGAGGTGGTGAACTCTGGAGTAGATCCATCCCATAATATTCATGTTCACCGTGCTCCCCTAGGCAGAACAGAGCCACGTGAAGCACCCAGCATTTCCCAGCTCCAGCAATTCAACAGCAACATCAGGCACAAGGGTTGGTGGGAGACAAGCAGGGAAAATGCTACACAGAGAACTGAAAACCACCAGGAAAAAGGACACAAAATATTCCCTGCTGGRTTGGGTTATAACAACAAAAATACAGCGTCAGATATTCAGATTTTATACAAATCTGGCAGTGATTTCACCAAGACTTGAGAAGGGCCACAAACATCACATCGTCCACTGCATGAATTCATGAACTGAGCTGAATTTGAGACATTTGAGCAAACAGAATTTTGGTACCCAGCAAGTACCAAACTCACAATTCTGGCCATGCTGAGCTGCAGTCCAAACACCAGATTCAGCTCCTTGCCCTTGAACCAGCTCACTGCATACGTGTTCTGGGCCACAGCCAAGGACTCCCCTCCGATGCTGAAAGAGCAAAGGGAACATTTCAAATGCAGCAGACAAAGCAGCAAAATCAAAGGTGATGGGATTTCAGAGAAATCTGGCTGTACAGACAGATTTAATGCACATTTATATATATATACACATATATATGATTTAAGAATAATTGGTGGTTCCATAGTTTTTGGTTCAGCAACACCTGCCAAGTCCTAGTTTTTGGTTTCTAAGTTACACAAGGAAAAGATGCGGAGATCTTGCTCAGCTTTAGAGGTCTCAGAATCAAACAGTTTTGTCCCCAAGTGGCAGCAATTTTCTAGGAGAGTTTTCTAGGGTTGGTTTTTTGTAGTTTTCTAGACAGCCTTACCTCAGAGAGCACAAACCTGCTGTTCCAGACTCACCCAAATATGAATCTGCCCACTTCCATCAGCCAGAAAGTGTTGAACAGTGCTCCAAGAGCAAAAACCACCTGCAAAGAGCATTGAAGGGAAGGATAATTGTGCATTTYKGGTATGGAACAAACCAGAACYGTCTGAAAACAGRAACAGGAATGCTTTTCCCTTCCCAGAAACACTTCACATCCCATTCCTGCTCTGCTTTTTKGTCTTTGCTCCCTCTGCTGCTCATCATATCCTACCTGGCCCACCTCTGCCCGTGACATCCTCCACCAATTCCACATCAAACACGTGGTTCCTTGCCATGGTTTCACCCCCATTCCAAGATTCCCTTTCCCCAGGCACTCCAGCCCAGCCCAGGGCTCTCCCATTCCAGTTTTCAGCTGTCTGACCCCACATGAAGCACAAACTGCACACCCAGATCATCCTTCACCCTTGCACTCACCTGCCCAACACACACAAAGATGCTGAATATKACAGTGCCCAACCTGGAAGGAAAAGAAATTCACTTCATGCACAAGCAGATTATTTTTGTCYCTACAAAACTTTTAAGATGTTTTATATCTCATGTCATTTTAAATGACATTTTGTGTCATTTTATGTCCACTATATATCAACACCTGCAACAGGGAAACAAACAGAARCTGATGTGAAATTAAAGATTTTTTAAAAATTATGCAGCTCAACAGCTTCCATAAAACACAGGGAGTGCAGGGTGGTGGTTTAGAAGCCAACTTATTTGAATTATAAAGCAAAGGAAGCTCATTTATACCGTTAAAAATTCCTAAACCATGCAGGGAAAAATACGGAAAGAATTTATAGCAAAGTGAAAAAGTTTATAACATAAAGCTTTCACTTTCACCTGTGCTTTTAGCTCATCATTCTTTGCACTTTGCACTCACCGGATTCCAAACACCCTGTCAATGAGGAAACCTCCAAAGAAGCACAGAACCACATTGGGCCACGAGTACCAGGCATAGAGGGCCATGAAYTGGGCTGTGTTCACCTTCATGTCCTGCACAACGGGGGAATTACAGAAGTGATTAGTCCTGAGCTAATTGCAGGGACACAGAGCAAGTATTCAGGAGGAATCATGTAGAAACAAGCAAATTTTCTGTAATTCACAGAATCCCAGCTGGGTTGGAAGGGATTTTAAGTCCATTTTGTTCCAGCCCCAGGGACACCTTTCACTGTYCCAGGGTGCTCCAAACCTGGCCTGAGACACTGCCAGGGATCCAGGGGCATCCTCAGTGTGATAAATTGARACCAACTTATGACACTCAGCTTCTCTGGGCAYCCTGTGCCARGGCCTGCCCACCCTACAGGGAACAATTCCTTCCCAAAATCCCATTAAAAAACTCACTCTCCCYGCTTTTCAAAGCCCCCTGGCAGCACTCACCCACTGAACCTGCGTCTGSAGCGCGGCCGGGTTGTCGTAGCAGAAGTAGCTGCCTGCAAGGAGAAGGGGACGGCTCAGGGCTGTGTGTGGGCACCCCACACCTGGGCACCCCACACCCGGGCACCCCAAACCCGGGCACCCCAAACCCGGGCACCCCACACCCGGGCACCCCACACCCGGGCACCCCACACCCGGGCACCCCACACCCGGGCACCCCAAACCCGGGCACCCCACACCCGGGCACCCCACAGCGAATCGCCCCCACACGGAGCCCCCACACGGAGCCCCCCGGGCCGTCCCGCACCGAAGCCCAGGAAGCACATGAGCGCCAGGACGAGCAGGCGGTGCGGGAGGCGGCGGGGATCGCAGGCGGCGGGCAGGGCACGGGGAGGGCCCGGGGAGCCGCCGCCATCGCCGCTCTCGGCGCCCAACAGCGCCCGCTCCTCCTCCGCCATCGCGCCCGCCTCACGTGACCGCATCACGAGGCACTGCCGCTCACGTGAGCCCGCGGTCACGTGTGCTCATCCATCACGGGTATTTGCATATCGTGTGAGCTCAGCCAATCACGTGAGCCCGCGGGCACCTGGGCCCCGCCCATCACCTCAGCCCCGCCCATCACGTGTACCACGCCCTTCACCTGAACCCCGCCCATCACGTGCGCCGTTGCCATGGCAACGCCGGCCGAGGCCTGGGGTCTGTGAGGGGGAGAGGACAGCCCTGGGAAATGGAAATAGAAATTAAATATAAATCATGTAAATATGTTAAAATGTAAATATGTAAATATGTTAAAATGTAAATATGTTAAAATGTAAATACGTTAAAATGCATATATGTTAAAATGTAAATATGTAAATAAATATGTGTATGTACCTGTGATTACGTGGATGTAAATATGTAAATGTAAATGTGGGAATGTAATTTGAGGGCCAGGCTGCAAGAGGCCCTCARTAAGCAGCCAGGGAAGCACATGAGCTTGTGAAATTACTCCTGGTGAGTGTTAAAGTCATGGGACAGGGGATCCCAGCATGGTTTGGGTTGGAAGGGACTTTAAAGTTCATCCATGGAGGGACATCCCCGCTGTCCCAGGCTGCTCAGCCCCAGTGTCCAGCCTGGCCTTGGGCACTCAAAGAGATCCAGAAGCCTCACCCCGCTCCCAGGGAACAATTCCTGCCCAAAATCCCATCCATCCCTGCCCTCTGGCAGTGTGACCCCATTCCCTGTCTCCTGCCCCTCCCATTCCTCTCTCTCCAGTTTTCCTGGAGCCCCTCCAGACACTGCAAGGTTTCTCTTCTCCAATGCAATTTTTCTTTAAAAAAATTCTTAAACTTGCTCCAAAATGTTCTTCCCGTATTAGACATACCCTTGGAAAAGCTGCTTTTTTACTGTAAAAATCCCAATGATCTTCCATCAAGTTTCATCTTCTTGCATCAAAAATGATCCGAATCTGTGCGCACATCATCAATTGCTTTCTGAATAAAATTTTTCTCTCTTTGAATAAAATATGCTCCTAATGAGGCAAAACCACTTTTGATAAATAAAGGATTTATTTCCCTTTTCAAGGTAGCAGTAAGAAAAGGGCTGAGTTTTACCTGAGTTGCTAAACTAAGACATTCACTTTCCAGCTACTCTGCTACGAATTTRATCCAGAACCATTAAAAAAAAAGTCAAAATAACTTCTCAAAAAATGCAGGTATCATGTTGTGAATCAGCTGCAAACTCCTCTTGGGCATAAAATGCTTCGTTTCACTCGATATTTGTCTTTGCAGAGACCTGTCCGAAGAGATTTATGTTCTTAAATTAATGGGTCACATTTTCAACTGCTCTAAACTGGCTCAGATTTCTGGAAATCTGAGCGTCTCAGTTTACTACACTTGCTGTGAAAAACATGGTTTTAAATTACAAGGTTTCACTCCAAAAGCRGTTGTGCAACAAATTTGAGAGTTTCTGTGACAAACTCAAAGGTTTCAGTGACAAACTCGAGGATTTCAATGACAAACTCAAGGGATTTTGTGACAAAGTAGGATTTCTGTGACAAACTCSAGGTTTTCTGTAAAAAACTGGAAAGTTTCTGTAAAAAACTCAAGAATTCCCGTGACAAATTCAAACTTTTCTTGCCGCTTGAGGGAGCTCAAAGATAATTGACTCTGMAGAGCACCTCGAGTTTTATAATTCCAGGGAGACGATTTATACACACAGAGAAAAGGGATAACTTTGGAAAGCAGAGCTGTATCCAGAGAAATTTTAACGCCAACACTTTGATTTTATTCTTTAAACTATTCCCACATGGATTTGAAACCGAGCTAATGTGTAACTCAGATGGGCAGGGACAAGGTGCCAGCATTTGGGCAAAAGGATCCCACAGAAACTCTCCCCTCTAAGCTGGGATCAATTTTATCATTATTTAAAGGGARATCATGAAAAGCAGATTTTATCTCCCTAAGTCTCACAAAGGCTTTTWTTGCCCCATAAGCAAAGCAATAGGCAAAACCACACAGGGAATAAACACATTAAACATAAAAAACCTGCAACTTCTGATGTAGGATGAGAATGTTTTGGCCTGGATTCAGCCGTGTATTCCAAGGGAAGACAGGGAAATGAGGAGCTGCCAGAGGATTTAGGGATTTCCTCACCAAAACTCTTGTTAGGCTGACTTCATTTAATCAATTAACCAAAAACTCCCAATCTTGYGGATCSRGATTTCATCTTGCAAACTTTTATCRCAGAGTTTTGTACACCCAAAAATCCKCTCTGCAAAAACACTTTAGAGAGCTTCCAACAGCCCTGGGGGATTGGCTGTGCCAAGTGCAATGACAAAGGATTCCTGGAAAAATAAAAACTCGGCCCAGAATGGCATCCTGAGTCTCAGCAACGTCACCAGGAGGATTTTGAGCACTGGTTTATGGTCTCTTGTCCCATTTTTGTTTATTAAATCCCTGCGGGCATTACAGACCAAGGCTTTACTGGAGAAATTCCCTGTGTCACTCCTGTATCCATTTGTAASAAATGTAAAAAGAGGGAATCTCCTTCCTTACCCTGTGGAAACAGTGGGATGAGGCCCTGGCCCCTCAAAAGGGGGGATGTTGTTTACATCTCTCCCTTATTTTATTATTTAAACACAAGAATCCTGAGTTTGTCTTTTTTATTTCAGTGTTACCCACGTGAGTTGTGCTGGAAACCTCAAGCTCGTGGTTTCATGATGGTGTGGTTTTCCTTCTCCTCTCTTTTTTTTCCCCTTTCCTTTTCCTTGTGCTCTCTTCTGACTTCTCTTGGGAGACAGAGATTCACCTGAATTYGCTTATTCCAAGCGACTTCCTTACCCTTCAGCAATAAATAGATGAGTGCTACAGTCCCACTCTGTCATTCATTCCAAATATAATTTTCATTTATRCCACGCTCCCTCACCATAACTCACACAAAAACATGTAAATGTGGAAGGATTTAACTATTTAAACTGCTTTAAAAGTTCCTTAAATCAGTTAAAAATTATTATTTTATGTTGTTCCTACTCATCCACAGAGCATSGTTAATTCAGTGCCAGAATTGCCAATGATTTTTCACATGCAGCAGAGCTGAGCAGGTTCCAAAAGCACAAAGGGTTCCTGCGCTTTCACTCATGCAGGAGGGAATTTTCATGAACCTGAAACAGAGGCAATTTTATTATATTTATTTCCAAAGCTCTCAGWGGGTTTTTCCTGTTCTTTTCATGGCTGTGTGCTTAAATATTTTCTATTAAATGAGATTGGGGTTGTACCTTATCTTSTTGTGTGTAACATCAGGCTCTTCCTAGGAGAGTAAGGAATTACAGCCGTGTATCCCGAATATTTAACAGGAGGAAAAGTCTCTTTTCCATTTGCTCTTTCCCAATATTTGCCTTTCTCCCAGTCCCTTCCACCTTCACCTTGGCTGTGACCTTGCAGTGCCCACAGCTCAGGGCTGGGATATTCCTGGGATTATTCCCACATGCATTGCAGGTGAGTGTTAATGCCCCAAATAAATACAGCAGATTGCTCTTAAACTCGTGCTTTAGAATGTTTATGGCAGATGCAATTGCTGCCTCCCCATAAATCAGGGCACTTAAAGTGCCACACGATCCCAAAYGCTGCGTTTAACGGCAGCAAATTGAGGAAAAGCTGTCTACAGGGCTTTATAGGGGCCATAAAACCCTTGTGGCCTCCCCTCTCKGCACTGCCCGGATCCATCAAGTGCAGGGAGCACTCAGGAAGGGAAATATTCCCAGGAAACAAGGATGAGCTGCCAGAGCTCAGCTCCTCTGAGTTATTGCTGTCTTTGGGAAGATGCTTCAAAACTGCAACCAAGCAGGAGCTGCATTAAAGGTGATTAAATGGCCTCTGCCATCATTACCCCATTAGCCATTTTCTGAAGKAAAATGCCCAAAAAGGAGGAAGGATCTGTCATCCAACGGCATCCAAACAGCTTTTAATCACTCCATGTGCTGASGAGTGGGTTATTACAAACCTCTCTGTCCCACTGGAGCATTACTGGGCTTTTATGCAGCATCTCAAGACAAGTGTGATGTGTGCAGGCTGCTGGGAAAAGGCTGAGGAAACCCTTCAGCCCCATAAATCTCTGTGAGGGCAAAGATCCCGGCTGAGGAAGCCGCTGTGGCCGGGAGGGATCCTGTGCCAAAGCAAACAGCTCCTGCCCTCTGTGCTGAGTCACAAACACCGAGCATGGGGGGTTCAGGGCTCCTTTTCCTACAGAGAAATATCACTGTGCATCCTTCCCAAAATGACACAGCTCTGCCCCAGGGCAGAGTGCCGGGCTCAGGGAATGGAGAGAAAATACCCACAGTGAGGGTGTCGGAGCATTGTTAACCATGTGCAGCTTCACAGCCAAAAAAGGACTTTCAGGAGGGTTTTACTGGTGTTCCAGGCCGGATTGGTCAGGGCTTGGAGCAGCCTGGTCCAGTGGAAGGTGAGGAATGCGATGATTTTAGGGTCCCTTCCCACCCAAATGAGATGATTTTAAGGTCCCTTCCCACCCAAATGAGATGATTTTAAGGTCTCTTCCCACCCAAACCAGGCTAGGATTCCATGATTCTGGGAATTCAGAGCTTTGGGCTTTTGGGACTACAGCTGAATTTCTAGATAACACCTGACCTTGTCTTCATGCACAACTTTCCCTTAGTTCCTGTTTCCCTCAGGATACACATATTCCTGGTGGATGTTACCAATGCTAACTTTTAAAAATCTYCAGGTAATTTGGTGGGAATAGTGAACAATTACGATGATTTGGTAGAAATACTGAGCACCTAGAGCTGCCYGAGAGCCACTGAAGCAGAGCATTTACTGGACAGTTCATCTCTGAAAAGATGCAGTCTCGTTTAAACATTTAAATTTCTAAGGATTCTCCTGTTCCTCCCAGCAGGACGGACATGAAGGATTTCATAACTAAGCCTGGGATTTCAGGAGGAAGCTTTGATTCTGACCAGTGCTGAAGGTTGGTGCCACGCAGCCTCCCTGTC